TGGACCCCCCCTACAAGCACATTCTCGCCTGTGGACCCCCCCCCTACAAGCACATTCTCGCCTGTGGACCCCCCCCCTACAAGCACATTCTCGCCCGTGGACCCCCCCCTACAAGCACATTCTCGCCCGTGGACCCCCCCCCCACAAGCACATTCTCGCCCGTGGACCCCCCCCTTACAAGCACATTCTCGCCCGTGGACCCCCCCCCTACAAGCACATTCTCGCCCGTGGACCCCCCCCCCCTTACAAGCACATTCTCGCCCGTGGACCCCCCCCCACAAGCACATTCTCGCCCGTGGACCCCCCCCCCTTTACAAGCACATTCTCGCCCGTGGACCCCCCCCTACAAGCACATTCTCGCCCGTGGACCCCCCCCTCGCCAGTGGACCCCCCCCCCTACAAGCACATTCTCGCCCGTGGACCCCCCCCCCTACAAGCACATTCTCGCCCGTGGACCCCCCCCCTACAAGCACATTCTTGCCCGTGGACCCCCCTACAAGCACATTCTCGCCCGTGGACCCCCCTACAAGCACATTCTCGCCCGTGGACCCCCCCACAAGCACATTCTCGCCCGTGGACCCCCCTACAAGCACATTCTCACCTGTGGACCCCCCTACAAGCACATTCTCACCTGTGGACCCCCCTACAAGCACATTCTCACCTGTGGACCCCCCTACAAGCACATTCTCACCTGTGGACCCCTTACATCAATGTTCTCACCTGTGGGCTCCTACAACAACAAAAAATAAAACTAGTAAAATTTACAATAGCCATTACTATGACAAATGGTCATAAGACCTGCATTATTATTCTGTTAAAACCATGTAAATGATAACTGGAGATATTCAGCATAAACTTATAAGTGGTTCTTAATTTGTCAGAGTACAATTCAATATACTGTATAGTATTAGTCTTCAGGATGCAACCCAAGACAATTGTCTAACTCCAGGGGTACCTATTTAACAGCTAGGTGAACAGAGGCATTAGGTGAAAGGAGATATTTCAGCAGTCCTGCATCGGGATTGAACCAGATCCTTTGAGTGTGAGCCAAGGACATTTGACTAATCTTTCTAATGCTTATCTGTCTCATCAATCCTAGGCTCAAGACATGTTCTTAGGCCTAATAATAGTACATATATGTGCTGTAGTAGGACTGGGAATGTTTAAGTATGGATTTTAGTTTTAGTTTTTCTGAACTATAAAATTAATACAGTACAAAAAGTGAATTCTTTGGTGGTACATCCACCTAAATATCATACTGTACTGGAACTTTCGACCAAATACAGTAGTTACTATAAGTACTGTACTGTACTATCGATGGATTGCTTGGCTTACCAAGGTTTCCCTAGCCACTGATTTACCTTTCCACTAATTTTCAGGTACAGTACTTATTTACTGCTAAGTGCACAGAGGCCTCAGGAGTCGAGTAAATACCCAGTACAGTATTCACAAATGTCCTGCCATGCCCAACACAGAATCAGAAGAGATGAAATGATTCATAACTTTTTGTAAACAAACTTTTACAATTAAAGCTGTGTTAACCAATTACATATATCAACACAAAAGATGAACACGCCTAGTTTAGTTTAATGTAGTTTGTACTGTACTAAGCAAATCTAGGCGTGCTCATCTTTGATTTTATAGATAGACTGTAGGCCTATGTACCTATTCCATCTAGTCTTACATAGCAGTGCAGAATTAGCAAGCCTTTGACAAGTCAAGTGTTTGAAAAATTCTGGTACAGTATATCCCGGTAGTACAGTCGGGTTCGTTTTCTAAGCACAATCAAGAATTCCGGGTTCGAATCGCAGGAGGGGCAGAAATGATTGGACACATTTCCATTCACCGAATGCCTAACGCATTTTTTAAATATTCACAGTCTAATGCAGCATTACTGCATTGGTCAGCAATTTTTTCAGAAACGTTTCAAGTTGTTTACGAGCTGTAGTCAAAATTATTTATAGGTACATAGAGGGGGGAAATACCTTTAAGCAGCTACAAATGCAATTAGTACTCACACACCCAGTAAAATTTATTACTGTATTAATAGACTCAGAACACAGTTTTACAAAAGGATCACTTTAATCACATTTCACTAATTTTTTATCATTATTCTCATACCGATTTGAAGAATTAAAGGTACTCTTAACCACTGCACTGCACACCTGGTTTCAGCAAAAACTTCTTAGTGCAAGTGTCAAGGACATATTTGTTGTTTTTAAAAATATTCAGATAAAGTTAATGTCAAAATGTTTCCAAACAACTATTTTCATTTCAAAACAGAGTAATGAAAACATTAAAATATAGCCTAATTAAAAAAAAAGCACAGCTCTCAGAGCACCTAAAGGCGCTTTGCACAGAGCGGTGGCTAATAAAATTAAACATTTTCTTATTTTTCTTATACTGTTCCATGCAAGAGATTGGCAAGAAAAGCAAAAGCCTATGGTATTATAGAATGTTGTATTTTCAATTGAACTGGGATTGGTACTGAACAGTAAACAAAGGGATTAGCATAGTACTGCCCTTTGGGTCCTAAGAGCACACAATTCTTGCCACTACATAAAATGGTTTTCCAAGGGTGGAGAACTGTTCCATATATACTATGGAACAGTATATACTGTTCCATATATACTATGGAACAGTATATACAATTATTATAATTACAGTACAGTATATACATAAGAATACAGTAATTATCTACAAAGTGTACACACAAACTGACTGGTGATGCCAGTCACTAATCATTAATTTTGTTACTTATTGGGTTAATACACACCATTAAGGAGTAGAACTAGAGCTAACCTCTACTCCTTAATAGTATGATGGACACTTATGACAGTGATGGACAGTTCGTCACTGTCACCAGTGACAAACACATTTCACACTGGCATAGTTTGTGTACCTGTAATATTGCATTATGGTATGAAATATGCTGTATTTACATGTATATATAATTCACATTACAGCATGCATACCGAGAGCCATATCATACTTATCTTGAGAGTATTTCGAGGCTTAGCATCCCCGCAGCCCAGTCCTCGACTAGGCCTCCCTTTTGTTACACACCCCCAGGAAGCAGCCCACAGTGTGAGAGAGTTACTTAAAGTGTTAACTGTCTAACTCCCAAGTACATATTTATTGCTAGATGAACAGGCACATCAGGGTGAAAGAAACTGCTCATTTGTTTCCGCCTCCACCAGGGATCGAACCCGGAACCTCAGGACTACGAATCTGAAGTGCTGTCCACTCAGCTGTCAGGCCCCCTTAACCTATGATTTATGAACAACCTTTCAGAGGCCAATTAAATTGGATGTCGAGCTATTTAAATACTGTACATTGCCCAGTTGCCCGAAACTCTGTGCGTATTAGTGGTTTTAGGCATACCCTGTAGTACTGCATATACTGGTTCTATCTAGAAATTTAACACTGCTTGTAACTCAACTTGTATGTACTTGTACCTATATAAAGAATTATTATTATTATTATAATTATAATTATAATTATTATTATAATTATAATTATAATTATTATTATTATTAGGATGCTGTGCTCCTCAGATACTAGTTAGTATAGCCTGACAACACATTTGGCTCAAAATCAATCAAACGTCTCCTTTCCCGGAAGTGTCATAACTGCTAATTCTTATAGGTTGTTAATTATGGCTGAAATTTTGCACTCTTGCTATTAGGATAGGTTAGAGAAGAATAGGCAAGGTTAGTTGGGTCAAAACCACTGCCAACACTAGGCAAACTAGGTAGCTGCCTACTGATAAATTTAAATCATAGGTTAATAATTCCAGGCGGGACAGAAATGGTTGGGTGCCTTTACTATCACCTAATGCACCTGTTCACCTAGCAGCAAGTAAGCACCCAGGAGTTAGTCGGCTTCTTATGGGGTTGCATCCTGGGCGAGGTCTAATTCGACCTGCGGGTGGTGGGGAGGGAGACCTCGAAATAAGCCTACCGTATATAAACACACACTGGCTGCCTGTCCCCCCGACAATGAATTATCAACAACTTGCATGAACTATGAAACACAAATGTTCCAGAAGTTAATTTTTGCCTGGTGGCTGACAGCACAACACAAGATGTAGGAAAGCTGTTTTCACCATACCAATGTATGGAATTTAAATTAAATTTGTACTTTTGTGGCCACATATACGTGACATCACACAGGTCACTCGCAGTAACAAACTTAACAAACAAGAGAATAACCGAACTCGATTACGGGCTCACTATAGCCCGTGCTACATGGACATTTTGTTCAGTGTAGCTGAATCTAAAAACAACAACATAGGTCACAACCTTCCATTATAGTGCACAACCTTCCATTGTATTGCACTTACGTGGTAATTTAATATCCAATGGTCTCTTACCCTAACAGCACACCCGTGAAACTGGGGCTAAAATACACTTACTGATTGACCACTGGTATAGCCGAGCAAATTAATATGACGAAAAATACAAATAATCTTTCTTTACACTGAGAAAAACAAGTGTTTTGAACTAGAAAGATGAGTGGTGATTCAGTTTCAAAATTACGAAAACCATTCTGAAACTGCTTGTGTATTCCATCATATCTAGCTGCCCGAGCTGTGGCACTTGGCACCCGGGGAACAAAGTTGGGCCTTACAACCTGACAGATACTCTTAGATAAATAAATTGACATTTGTTGTCAAATATGACAACAAAAGTTAAAACCCCCACTACACACCGTCAGAGTAACGTCAGTATCTCCCCACCGTCAAACTGACCACTAACCCCCAAACTTGACCCTTCACCCATGACCCCCAAAATGCCCTAACTCAAACCCGCAAAATCGCAAATATCGACCCGCAATGGGCGCAAAGTGGCAGGCGAACACCGTGCAGCAATTCCAATCGTCCGCCATTGACACTTAGCTCCGTGGCGCTCCAGCCACACAATTATTGGGCCACTTTTAGTCCCCTGCGCCTTATCTCACCCCCACGCCACGCCCTCCCCCGCGCCCACGTCACCTACCCGAAGAAGGACTCGTCGTCGAAGCCTCTCATGAGTGAGCCGAAGAGCGACATGGTGGAGAGGAGATCGATAATTCTCCGCGCGAGTGTGTATGTTGGGAGAGCGAGCCAGCCGCCGACGACCTCCTCCGCCACTGTCTCACCGCACACTGCCTGCCCTGCCTCCCCTCACAAAGATGGCCGACCCGACCAACCCGACTAACCGATTCTTCTCTACCGACTAACCAGTCCGTTGTTTTTCCCGACTCGACTATCCAATTAGGGGGAAATCGGTCCTCTTTGCTTCACTTTTCGGTTGGCTAACGCAAAGCATCCGTCCCCAAATGGTTATAGTCTCTCGCACGTGCAACCATTACTCCCTACCCGACTAATCGTATCTCCCTTACCCCCCCCCCTCCCTCCAGGCTGTCTATCCCTCTCATCCGACCACTCTCCCTCCCTCCCTCTCTCCTTCCAGGCTGACCATCCCTCTCACCTAGTCCCGACCGCCCTCCTTCCGGACAGGCTAACCATCCCTCTCACCCGACCACTCGTTCTCCCTTCCTTTCCTTCCCTTTCTCTCTTTCCCTCTCCTCTCTGTCCCTCTCCTCTCCATCCCTTCCGACCGAAATATCACATGGACCTGCACACTCCACTTTTTCGCCCAATTTAAATGCCTCCAAAGAAACTGAACCCCGACAATTACAGATTTTCTCAATGACACATCTCATTAACGTGATTTCTTTGTGCATTTGAAGAGAAGTGTGGGAGCTAGAATTCAAAGATTACAAGGCAGAGTAGGGGGGAAGGGGCAATGTGTGAAAGTCAGTCTTCCGTGGAAGCCTCAGAAATCCTAGTGGATTCAGTTGAATCCCAAGTTTATTTATTTATTTATATATACAAGAGTTCTTACGATCTTGTACAGCCACTAGTACGCATAGAGTTTCCTGCAAGTCCTTAATCCTAATTTTCCCCGGAATACGACCTGCCAAAAAGTTTAACAACCAGGTGCCCATTCGCTGCTGGGTAGAATGGTTGATTGATGAAGATTTAGCTACCCAAAAGGTGGCACGGGCATGAATAGTCCGTAAGTGGTGGCCCTTTTGAGCCATTACCAGTATCAATAGATGATACTGGACATCTCCCTGCGTGACGGGAGATGTCTCCCGTGTGCTGGGTAGACAGAGGTTACAGTTAAGGATTGGCGCCCAGTCTGTCCTCCTCGGCCAGGATACGAACCCAGGCCAAAGCGTTCGCGGAACGTCAGACGAGTGTGGCGTTGCATTGGCTACAGGTTGGATTGGTTTTCACCATGTCGTGGTGGAGTGGACTACGGGTGTTTTCTTGGAGTACCCAGAGCAACTGTTACCATCTTAACTGCGTGCAACTATCTTTATCATTGTAACCATCTTCACTACAAAAAGACCTTCCACACTGTAGCCATCTAAACTACTCACAACCACTCTCGTCACTGCAATTATATGTAACTGTCTTCATCATTATTACTATTTTCACCATCCAGGTACTGCTAGGTACCCCATCTATAGCCATCATCACTATTTTTTACTCCTTTTCACCACCTTCCCTCTCTTTTACCACTTTCCCTACCCTTTACCTTCCCTATTCTCAACCACCCTTCCTGCCTATCACCACCTTCATCTACACTCCATCACTTTTCCTTCATTCCTGTAACCATTTTCACTAAATATTTTCATCAATAAATCTACTAGGTAAGGAAAACGATCACTTAACTACGTTCTAGCTTCATCACTGCATCCATCTTCTTGGTCGTCATCAAGGAAAGATGTTCAGGTTTCTTAAGTGGTCATGTAAGTGTTTCATGTGTCCTGCCCCGATCTGTTAGATCTATTAAGCTCTGGCCTTAGATGAGAGTTTAGAAAAGGGAGAAACAGAATCTGGTTGAAAATTGCGAAACATACCTGGATCTCTTTAAATGAACACTGAACACCTGCTTCACATTATTATTTCGATGAATCGAAAACAGCAAAGGTTTTCGGGCGAATGCGAATGGGTGAACAACCAGGCGAATGCGTTGAGCGTTTTTTTTTTTTGTTTTTTTTTTTAGATATATATACAAGAGTTGTTACATTCTTGTACAGCCACTAGTACGCGTAGCGTTTCGGGCAGGTCCCTGGAATACGATCCCCGCCGTTACAAGTACCTGTACTCATTTTACTGTTGAGTTAAACAGAGGCTACAGTTAAGGATTTGCGCCCAGTAAATCCTCCCCGGCCAGGATACGAACCCATGACAAAGCGCTCGCGGAACACCAGGCGAGTGTCTTACCACTACACCACGGAGACTGGTAAGACTGGGTTGATGATATAACGCAAAAAAGGGAAATGAAGACATGATTGGAGGAGGAAGCGAAGGAACGATGCCCAACCACTTTGACCATCGGTTATCGAACGCTGATTTCCTAGAAGCGTCGAGGCCTTTGGTGTACCAACCAATATCAGCGAATGGACCACGAAGACAACCAAATTTCCCTAGAAGTTTTCCCCCACTCCAAAAGGTGGAAGGTTTAAAAATTGCCGAGAGAAGGGCTCAGTTTTGGCCAGCTAGCTATACAGAAGCATCTTGACCAAACATTCAACATGCTTCACTTTCACTAGAAAGTGAAGCGACGACGACGTTTCGGTCCGTCTTGGACCATTCACAAGTCGATTATGTCTTCTGTATACAGAAGTACTCCGACAATCACAAGAAACTACCCAAAAATTAAATACCCTCCTCCCTGAAGGAAACAACAATGACCAAATGCGGGAAAGTTTCAGATGGTGCCACATTTTGGTACATGCGGGAAGGGGAATTATCAGGGGAAAGCACCAAGCCATTACGATTATATAGCACTGGGAAGGGGATCAGGATAAGGATTTGGGATGGGACGAGTGTGGGATGGGATGGGACGGGGGGAGGGAAGGAAGATGCCCAACCACTTGGACAGTCGGGGATTGAACGTCAACCTGCATGAAGCGAGATCGTCACTCTACCGTCCAGTCTAGGACAATCAGAAGCCTGATTGTACATCCACTCGGGCTGGTCGGTAGAGCGACAGCCTTGTATTCTACAGGGTCAGTGTTCGAACCCCGAATCCTTATCCTGATCCCTTCCAAGTGATATATCGTAGTAATGGATTGGCGCTTTCTCCTGACAGTTGCCTTCCCTTCTCATGGTCCATGGGGTTGAAAACCATTCGCTGACATTAGTTGGTACAGCGAAGCCCTCGCTTCTAGGAGATCAGCGTTCGGTAACCGATAGTCAAAGTTCCACAGTCCTATCTGTGGAACCCTCTTCCCCCCTTCCGTCCCATCCCAAATCCTTATCCTGATCCCTTCCAAGTGATATATCGTAGTAATGGATTGGCGCTTTCTCCTGACAGTTGCCTTCCCTTCTCATATCCCTGCTCCTTGTCCTCATACCAATTCCAACTTCCAAGTGGAATATAGTCATGCTCACCTTGCATTTTCTTTTCATAATTACGGCACCTTCAGGAGCTTGATGTCTTGTTTCACCAAGAAACCTACAGTTGTCAGTTTCCGTGGTTATCTTGAGATGATTTCGGGGCTTTAGTGTCCCCGCGGCCCGGTCCTCGACCAGGCCTCCACCCCCAGGAAGCAGCCCGTGACAGCTGACTAACATACAGGTACCTATTTACTGCTAGGTAACAGGGGCATAGGGTGAAAGAAACTCTGCCCATTGTTTCTCGCCAGCGCCCGGAATCGAACCCGGGACCACAGAATCACAGTCCAGCGTGCTGTCCGCTCGGCCGACCGGCTCCCTCTCTGGTGTAGTGGTAAGACACTCGCCTGGTGTTCCGCGAGCGCTTTGTCATGGGTTCGTATCCTGGCCGGGGAGGATTTACTGGGCGCAAATCCTTAACTGTAGCCTCTGTTTAACTCAACAGTAAAATGAGTACTTGGTTGTAACAACGATTCTTCGCGGCGGGGATCGTATTCCAGGGACCATAGGATTAAGGACTTGCCCGAAACGCTACGCGTACTAGTGGCTGTACAAGAATGTAACAACCCTTGTATATATCTCAAAAAAAGAAAAAAAAAAGAAAGACATCCTAGATAACGCAAACGCCAAAATACGGCAAGTTAACCTATTGATCAACACCTTCACATTGATCCTGCCACTGAACACAGCATAACTCAGTCTTCACACACAAGTGAACTCGGAGCAAAAGATTTTAAGAGGAATGCCTTATACTCCTTGCCACAAAACCTTATTTGATGGCCTCTCCTGTACCCTGCTGTAGGACACTTGACTGCTCGTGATCCACGTTGAAAGACACATTGCTGCCCTTATTCCATGATAGCTTAGGCTATTTGGCTGTTCTTGATTCATGTACAAGATTCATCTTGATGTTAACCTTGATCCATGCTGTAAGACTCACTGCTGCCCTTGATCTATGCTGTGAGAGACATGGCCGCCCTTGATGCAGTATTGGTGGTAAAAAAAGATGAAAACTGTAACATTCAAATTAGAAAGCCTATTGAAGCAGCTTCTCGTTGTACAGTGGTATATTGCTCTCCAATGTGACCTTCTCCCCCACAGATGAAGCAGAAAAGGGAAATATTGTTCTAAATATTATGGGAAAGCACCAAGCCAGTTTGACTAGTACATGGAAGGGTACAAGGACTTGGAGCTGGAATAGGAGGAAGGGATAAAGGAACGGTGTGCAACCACTTGAACAATTGGTGATCGAATGCGGACCCTACATGAAGCGAGGCCGTCGATCTACCAACCAGTTCATGCATTTGATCCAGAAGGGTAAAACTAAATTTGAAAATTGTTCTTCAGATATATATATACAAAAAAAAAAAGACCTGAGTATGAGCAATCCTTTCTCTCTATAGTAACAATAGGTCGCGTTTTTGACGTTATCGTAACCAACGTTACACACATGCGACCAAGTAAGACAACTAACGGCTCACAAATATTCAAGTTTGCTATGCATCGGACTCGATAGATTAGGTGGGTTGCTTGGGTTTGCACGTTGTACTTAGGATAAAAGGTTGGATTGGTTACGGCGCTAAAGCAAGAACAGAGGCTGTTATGAGCACCTTTGGGATCCACTCGAGTGCCCATTCACGCGGATAATTCCTGTTGTCGGGGACAGGAAGCCTGCACTTAGCCATGAGGCTAAGTATAGGTTC